AAATAAAATTTTCAGTATTATGAATCTAATCCCAAGAACAATGATAATTTTAGCCCCCATTTCTACCCATTTTAACCTCATGCGCCTTACGTTTTATTTTTCATTTTTAATTTTAATTTTTGGATCTCTATTTTTCTCTCATGTTCATATCTCTTTCTTTTTCTCTCTCAATTGTGTTCGAATTCATTCAAATCAAGCAGAAAAACATCCCCGTGTTTACTATTCACATTGTCTTATCAGAGAATTAGATGGTACAAATAAAGATTTACCATAATTTTTGGACCTCCACATATAGATCTACAAAGCGTAGATGCAGATTTAAAGAGCGTAAATGAACGATATGTTAAACATGTCCCAATTAGTTAAGGAATTAATAGTTATCTATAAATTTAGTTACATGTCTATACACTTTCATAGAATTATATATCGATCTACATATAATCAAATTTATTAATAGATATCTACGCAATTAAGTTAGTGGTTTAAAATTTGTAATTTTCGCACATACGTTTTTGTTATATATTCAAACTAAAGTCGATCGCATTTAATAATCGTCATTTCTTTTTGTCTGTTGTCGCATAATGGTCAATTCAACTGTTGAGCATTTATTAAATGTCAACTCTTTCTCCCTCTTCCCCACGCGCATTAACAAAATATACATTAGTTTTTTTGTAATAACCGGCAAAACTAAACCCCTTTTCAATCGTTTTTTGGACGTCGTCAGAGACAAACCTCCCTATTGTCTATTTCCTAATTTTATACCCCATTTTTACTTCTACACAAATTCACTCAATAAAAAATATGATATCTTCTGGCACACTATTTTAGATTTGGGCTTTCTCTTAAGTTTTGACCCAACAATTTAAATCCATAAACACATACAACAAATAAGATGATCCGCAATGATGAGAACACGTGTCAACGCACTGATGAAACATCGTCTCTGAGTCCACGTCAGTAACTTCGCCGTCTCGTCCAACCCCAACGACGGTTTAAAAAAAAAAAAAAATGCCTCCTCTCAAATTAAAACCAAAAAAAAAACAAATTCATCGCTTCCCAATTTTACCAGAGAGCGTCGTCTTCTTCTCACGAAACCCTAATCGTACATTCTTCTGGAAAGTTGTACTATCTCCGACGGATCTTGAATCTGTAATCTCAGCTGCTGAAATCTCCGGTGAGTTTTCCCAGTCTGTGGTCAACTTCTAGGGTTTCGATTATCGCCATTTTGTTATCGTTTTATTTCATTTCGATCCCTTTCTTTGATGATTTTTAGGTTAAATCTATCAAATTGATTTCTTTTTTTGTGTGTTATGTGGTCAAGTTTATAGCTTTTTTCCGGTATCGTTTCCAAGAAAAGAGGGGAATTTGAGCTAAATTACTGCGACTTTGTATCAGTTTTCATGTTTGTTTGGATATTGATTCGCAACGGTTAAGTAGAGATCGTAAATTTGGTGTCTTTGGGGTATGTTTCGTTTCTAATTTGCAAGACACTAGATGATTGCTAGCGAAATGCAGAGACCGTTGTTGTGTTTGTGTTGTGTGGTCAATTTGATTGGTTTTTGTGTTGTGTGGTCATGTTTATAGCTTGCTCCTATATCGTTCCAAGAAAATATCGGGGAAAGAGGGGAATTTGAGCTTAACTACTGCAACTTGTGTCAGTTTTCATGTGTGTTTCGGTATTGGTTCTTTATGGTTAAGTAGAGATTGTAAAGGTGGTGTTTTTGGGGAATGTTTCGGATCTAAATTCCAAGAAAACTTTGGAATCTTGATGATTGGTAGGGGAATGCAGAGAACGTTTTGCTGCGAGGTGGAGAACGGTTGGAAGGAATCCCTCTCTCAAGGGATTGTTATCGTAGTCCTAAAGCAAGAACCAGGGACAAACCTTGGGATAATCTCTAATCTTTCACATTTGATTAGTAAAAATACTTAAGAAGTAGCATGACTCGGTTTTTGGTTCAACGAGGTTCATCAGGAAGTTCTTCCAACTCGAGCCGCCCTTCTTCCTCGGGAACAGAACCACAGATAAACAATACTATTCAGGTTCCTCCTGTTACTATAGATGAAGAAATTACGGATGAGAAACAAGAAGAGGTTACTGTAGTTGAAAAAGCAGAGTGTTCTGATGCTAAGAATGTAGCTGTGGACATTAGTGAACCTGTGGATAGAGAAGATGATGAAGGATTGGTAGTTTCAGAAAATGTTCATGTTGAAAGTGAAGGTATAGATTGTGATTCTCCAGTTAGTGGTGGCAGTAACCCTGATTCACCACCCGTACCAGCTCCACCACCAAAACCTTCTTCGACTGTCAATCCTGGGAATAACAGATCGGTCTTGGGAAGTTTTGACGCTTTACGAATTGGACCAACACGAAGAGGTTCTGGGCCTCGCTCTCTTGTTTCCAGTAGGAGTTCGCCAACTGGATCGCATCCTTCTTCTCCAAGATCACACAGTGAGAACGAGGGCTATAACAGTTCTGATGAGCATATGCCATGCTATGTGCCCTCTCATCCTGGCTCTGGCTTGGTAAGTTTGTTTTCTGAAATAAAAGATGTTTTGACTGCTTGGATTCTTAGGCTTGTTTTATATGGATTTATTTTCAATAAATTATATAATTCCTCCCTCACAGGAAAGAGAACACCAGTTTGAAGCAGAGATTAGAGATTCGAAAGGCTTTGAAATTAGGCGGATGTTGGAAGATGGAAATTGTCTTTTTCGGGCTGTTGCAGATCAAGTATATGGGGACTCAGAGGCATATGACTTGGCTAGACAAATGTGCATGGATTACATGGTAATTTTTCTTTTCTTTCTGAAATAGGTTGTTTTGACGAAGTTTTAGCATTTGAGACCAGCACATGAGTTAGATTAGCGAGCTGACTTGCATTTGAGAACAGCACCCAGGAAAGATATATTGAAACAACGAAAAAATTTACTTTTTTGGATAGGCTGCTCACCTTGTTTGGTAGACTGTGTTGCATTCTTAGTTTCTAGTCAACCATCCACCAAGAAAGGAATAACAGTTAAAAGCATAAATCTTACCATTTGATGGCTAATTTATATGACTATGTGGTGGGGTTCAAGACAGCATCAATCTTAGGTAAGTGGAGTGAAACAAAGAGAGAAACAACAGCATGTACTAGTATGCGATAATGATATACCTTTTAAAGTTCGGTATTGTGAATCTAATCATTTTTTTGCATGTACATTGTTTTGGACGGAGCACAGAATTAGTGTTTTTAGTGTTGATGGTAGCACTCCACAGAACTTACTGGTTTCACAATGAATTGTTTAGGAACAAGAGAGGGATCACTTTTCTCAGTTCATAACCGAAGGTTTTACTTCTTACTTGAAAAGGAAAAGAAGAGATAAGGTGCTTTCCTCTTATCCATGTCTTCACTATGTTAACTTTCGGCTCCAACAATCTCTTTTGACGCTTCCTTGATACAATGGTGATAGGTCTATGGAAACAACGTAGAGATCCAAGCTTTAGCAGAAATGTATAATAGGCCAATCCACATTTACTCATATAGCACAGGTGCAACTTAGATTCACATTATGTAAGCTCTTAATGTTCTTTAGTGTAACAAGAAATTTATGCAACAAAATGTATTGTTATTTTTTACAGAGCCTATCAACATATTTCAAGGAAACTACAGCACGGATACACCTCCCATAAGACTGAGTTACCACCACGGGAATCATTATAATTCTTTGGTGGATCCACATCGGTTGACAGTTGGTGCCGGACTTGGATTTAGTAGCCTTAGTGGGGTAAGCATAGTTAAGCTATCAAGCATAACTCAAATTTGAAAAACAGCGGATCTTTGATTTTTGACATCATTTTTCTTGTTTTGAATCCAGAGACATGTGGACAAGGAACAGGTGAAAGCTGCTATAAAGGCTCAGCAAGAACATCAGATTGATAATGTAAATAGCCCGTATCCATCCATAAACAGATTCACCAATCTGTCTTGAGTGTGTGACTGCTAACGTATCTGTCTTTGTTCCAGGCGCTCTTAGCAGAAGGGAGATTTTACTCTGACCTTGAGCTTACGGAAAAGGAAATAGAGCGGGCGGTAATGGATGCTTCCCGTGCTGAGTATCTTATGGAATGGTCTAAGCCACGAATTGGTCCAAAGGAATCATCCACCTCGAATGCTGAGACATCATCTTCTGGAGCTAGTAAGTAATTTTCTTTTGAATCTGATCACTTAGGATATACTTGAGACGAAGCGTTTTGAGACTTTGTAAATTTTGAAGCAGGACCTTCAGGGAGTGATTCGAAACCAGAGGAGGCAGTAAAAAAAGAAAAGACTGTGCTGAGTAGCAGTATCGAGATGGTATTGTCGATGGGATTTAGCTACACGCAGGCCATGGAAGCTTATAGCATTTTTGGAGATGACGTTGACTCTATGGTCTGTTATGTACTGGAGACAAGCTGTGGTGGCAACAACCGACGCAAAGGCAAAGCCACGGAATAGAGAATGTAACATGAGTTGCTCTGTATTAGTAGTATATGAAATACCAATTCGTATTCCTCCTACCAACGGTGGGCGATTACCCTTACCAGAATAATGAAGAATAAACTTGTGCATTCATGACATGTATGCATATGTTTGTGATCTATGTACTTTAGTTGTACAAGTTGAATAAGAGAGAGTAAGAGAACACTTTTCTTTTGCTAAAGCTGACGAAAGAATCAATTAATGAAATCCCAACCGTTTATCTTATAACTCTTCACTTCTTGATAATTATGTAATTTTAATTCGTATTTATTTTAACATTCAATTACACTGCCCATAACCTGCCAAAAAGGGTCAAATATTCATTAAGTATAATATATTTCCAAGACATTGTGCATGTTCATCTTCACGTATCCAAGAAAGTCACTTTCACGTTTCCCACAGTCATCGTAATTGTTTCTCTAAGTTAAATAGACGTGCATGCTCTTTATTACATTTCCATGTTCAACATTTTCCAGTAGTATCCTCATCATGTCTGAGATGGTCGTGAATTTGGGCCATGTTAAAATCGACACGACAATAGCTACAACGGAAGAAGAAATAAATGAAGGCATACAAGCCCTGCTGTCAAACACCTCAAACCATAATAGGTTGATTGGTCTAGACATGATAACGTTTCGTGTGGCACCAGAACCATCGTCAACATCTGGAAAACCCTCAAACGCTGCTATCCTCCAGCTATATGACTCAACACAGTGTCTTATAATCTGGCTTCATTCCCTCCATGACGTGCCTGAATCTCTCTACAACTTCCTAATCCTGCCGGCTTTTACTTTCGCGGGGTTTGGAATAAAAGACACAATTGCTAGCCTCAAGAAGGATTATGGCTATGTGTGTAAGAACGTTCTTGAAGTTGGAAGGGCCGTGTGGACCTCCTATAAATGCGATACTCAGCTCTTGCGTGATGAGTTCGTGTATATGAGGATACCACAAGTCAGTAGTATCTCTAAACCTTGGGGTAGTAGTTTCGAACTAACGGAAGATGAGATCAAACTCGCTGTCTCGAATGCTTTCTATGCATTTCGTATTGCAAAGATATTGCTTAACATTCGATAAGGTTATTCTATGAAAAACAAAATTGTTTGTCCATTTTTGAGGTGTGTTTTGTGTTTTAGGGTTTTAAACTTTTTTGTTGTTATAATGTTCTTGCAGATCCCTGCCATAAAAGTTGCATTAGTTGATCGATCGAGAAGGAGTACGGTTCCCTTTTGTGCTCCAGCTCACTTTTCAAAATGCGAATGCGAATTTTCGTATTGTAGATCATATTGCTTACCTTATCTACCTTTTATCATTACGTAATGTAACAACTTTTTAATATTGTTTTGCGATGTAGTTGTTAAATTACGTTTCAATGTTTGGAAGAGTTTCTTTATGCCAAAATTTCGTTTCTAATTCCATTTAATGATCAAATATTTGCTTTATGTTAATTTGATTCATATCAACAAACTACATGGTGATTGGTTGAGACTTTGATTGTAAATTATTGACTCTTAGAAATTGTGGGTTTTAACAAAATCAGCTGTGATTTTTACAAAAATAATTAGTCACATTTTGTTGGTTTTAAAAAAATACTCATGGTAGGAACAAGATGAATGAGTTGGACTTACAAATTTTATGAACACTTTTATGACTATCTAAACAATAAAACTTGATTAGAGAAAATTTCAAAAATAAATCTTCACAGTTTTTAAAGTCTAAACACCGGCTCCTAGCTAGAATCTCTGTAATATGCGAGGTTTAAGATAAGTGATATTGGTACCACAACTTTGATCATGTGCTTGTCCCTGCTGATCATGTAAGCACAAGTCCTAATGACGCATAACTATGTAGACGATGCCATACAAGTGCTCACCAAGTTGAGCTGTTCAGGGAAGGTCCTAGTACTCGTTTCCTTGTTACCGGGGATGTTTAATGTGTTGATTCTACTCATTCTCCGGTTTTCCATCAAGTGTTCGGTCCCCTGTGTTTTTTTACTTCGGCTGCTTTGCTCGACATCATGTCTTTCTTATAACGGCTAGGATTCCACTTTGTATGCCGCTGAGGATTTATAGAAATGTCTCGAGGGATTTGGCTAGAAATTAACACAAACGGGTTTGGGGTGACCGAGCAAGATATTTTGAAACAAAGTGGAGGATTATAAACTAATGTTGCTTGTGCATTTGGACTTGGACTGGAGAGACTTGCTATGGTTTTGTTTGACAGCCCTGATATAAGACTTTTCTGGTCGTCCGATGAACGATTCACGTCCCAGGTGATTACTTCAAATATTTAGGATGATGAGATTAACGTCTAAATTTTTACTACTTTTTCTTACATTAATGTATTTTGCAGTTTGGAAAAGGAGAGCTAGGAGTGAAATTCAAGCAATATTCAAAGGTAAAAACGTTTCTTTCCATCTTCATGTCTATGTCTCGAAGACTAATGAATCCTAGTTCAAGACCTATCTGTCTTGTATGTTTTAACCATGGCAAACAAAATCTTGTTTTGCAGTATCCTCCTTGTTACTAGGACATCAGTTTCTGGATAAGCAATTCGTTCACAGATAATAACTTTTGTGAACTTGTTAGAGGAATTGCTGGGGATCTTGTTGAAGAGGTACCTTATCTCTTTGATTGTTTCCGAGAGAATACTAGTTTTTACAGAACTGTTCCTCCTTTGCCTCGACAAGAGCTCGTTTGATTCAAGGGTTGATTCTATTAAGTGTATTCGCATATGTATAGCTTGAAAGCAAAACAAAAAGCTTCCTAAACCTACACAATCGCAAATAAACAAAAATATTGTGATTCATCAATGTCAAACCCACTGGTAAGAACATATATTATATTTGGTGAAGGAGACATACCAAACCCACTGGCTTAAATGTTGTGCCATTGCTTTGAAGCTTTTCCAAGGCTGTTCGTTTATGATGATTACCTTACTCGGATGTTTTTTGCCGGATAAAATTGACAGCCAAATGTCGACAGGTCCACAGTACTTGCGGAAGATATTAAGGCTTACCTGATAGATGTACAAAACCGTGTATTCTTTTTAGCTAAATCCATTTTACAATCAATAGGAGCTTTCAGATACTCTTAAGTTCCAAGAAAAAAAAAGGTAAGACTTAAGAGTTCCCAAGATTTGATATTTCTTCCTGAATTAGTCTGCAAGAACTTTCTGCATGTACAACAAAGTGATGAGGAATGATTTTGCGGTTTTATGACTTAAGGGATTGAAAAAAGCCTGACGTACAATACTCCAAGGGTGATTGCAATGACCCGAAATACCATAGTTATCGAATGTTATTATCTGAAACACCACATAGAGAATTAGATGCAGAAATTATCGAAGTGTTATCCTGATGAGTGTCTTTAACTACACCGTAGGAGCCAAGAGTCATACTGTGAAATTGGATAAATCCTTTTACCAATTCCACAACTTTGAAAACGAAAGTAAAACACCAACCCTAGAAAGGCAATCAATTTGACATTTTAAATCTAAAAAGCAATCAAAGAAATCAAATAAAACGATCGACACTAATAAATCTCACCCTCTCAGGTAAAATTGGGAGAGATGATTTTTTTTTTTTTTACCGTTGCTGACGTGGACTTAAATTTTTGTTTATTATTGGGAAAAGAACGGAAGAATTGGTGAGAAACCCAGAAGAACATCGAGACTAATCTCTCACCGTTGTTGAGAGTGTGATTTCACCGGCGGTAACAGCCACAGCTTCCAAGAGAAATGCTAAACCATTTCCTCTATCGCTCCTACACTCCTCTCCTCTTCTCCAGATCCTTCTCCTCTACGCTTTTCGTTAAAGGTCTCTCTTTTCTCTCTCTCTCTTCCTCTGTTGTTGTCTGCGATTAGGTCTCGACTTTTCTGATTCTTAATCCATCTTTCACGAATCTAATTACCCATTTCTTGATTTCTAATTCTTTGAATTGGGTATGTCCTCAATTGCTTTCTGAGGTCTTAAAGGTTGTGACTTTGACAGTGCCAATTTGATGAGAATAAGCTATTATTGTGTCTGTTTGGTGTGATTTTAGCAGTTCTTAGGGATGAGTTTTTGATAGAAACAACAAGGGTATGTGTGAATTTGCTCCTTAAGTACCACATAGTGTCTTACCAATCTAAAAGTTTCAAACTTTAGATGTAAAAAGCATTATTATTTCTTTGTTTGATCTGTGTCTTGTGTTACTACTGTTACTAAACTGAAAACTTTTGTTGCAGGCATATCTTTCTCAAGCACAGAAGAAACATTAACCCAAGCATTTTCTCAATATGGTCAAGTTCTCAGAGGTCAGTCTCTAATCTCAACAGCAAATTAGTTCTACAAATCTCTGTCTTTTATCAGAGTTATTTATCATTCCTTGATTAGTTCCAGTTAGTTAGTTTGAGGATAATTAGAGTCTATACTTGTATATAAGGTTGTAAGTGTACATTGGTCCATTCTAATGCAGACATGTTTAGTGTAACAAACTTCTTCTGATAGTCTTCTTCATCGTTTGGGTTGCTTCAGTGGATGTTATAATGGATAAAATCAGATGCAGACCAAAAGGGATTGCTTATGTCACATTCTCTTCTAAAGAAGAAGCCGGGAAAGCTTTATTAGAACTCAACGGCCGGGTATTACTTTCTTTTTCCATTTTAGAATTCACTTGCTGTAAGTTCCTTATCTCAGATAAGTCTTGATTTTCGTATAAACCCTTTCACAATATTGTTCTTTCAAACTTATAGCTTTCTCCCATTAGGTAGAAATAGATTTGATAGATACTTGTGAATCACCTGGTGGAGAATTAGAACAAGATATTTCAGAAAAAGGAACTATTTTCTTGAAATCTTTGAACTGGTTATGTTGCTAATGCCTAGTCTTCATGAAGTCTTGTTATATGGATCACAGTTGGTAGACGGGCGGGTGGTGATCCTTGACATAACAAAAGCTGGAAAACACAATCCACCAGACACCAAGCCGAAGCATGCAGGTGGTGATAGCTGATACTTCTCTTTTGTCAACTTGTTAGGTTAAATTTTGAGACTCAGAAAAACTTCAAACCAGTTTTGAGGTTATTTGGAATTGGGGAGTTAGTTATAGAGTTTGATGTGCCATAAAAAAGAGTTAGGAGCTGTGAGTCATCATAGACTAGTTTATCGAATTGGCAAGTTTCTTCTCGACATTGTTTGACTCAGTGCAAGGGGGTTCCAAGCAGCCAAAACAAGGTTAGTCCAGAAAGTTAGGCCAGAAGATCTGCAGCATATTATTGTTTTGCGTTTGACCATGTATACAAGTCACGTGACTTGAGAGTCTTTGAGTCTTGTGGACGATTATGCTTCGTCTTCTTTGCCTTCACATACTGACTCATTGTTCTCTTGATCTCTTCACAAGTTTCTTCATGTCTTTGGTATCTGCTTCTAACTAAAGCACCAGTGATTAGATAATCTAACCAAAAAATCGCTTAAGAACCTATGCATTATCTAAAGCTTGTTACTTATGTGAAATTCGCCGTTTAGGGCATTAGCATGATTCTAATTTTCTATATACATCTATCGAGCAACCACATTTGTAAACATTCGTATCTATCGATCTCTAAATCTTTCTTGTTGTTTCATTGACAACAAAACTAAGTTATGAATGATACCAAGTTGCTACTCTTTCTACTTCATACGAGCCAAATCTGCCTAGACATGTCAGTTATCTACGTGTGTAGGCTAATATCATTTTCTTAAATACAAATCATGTTTTTGTTTGTGTTACAAATGTTAGGCTAAATTTTCATACAAATGAAATCTTAAGACATACAAATCATAATTTTTCTTACAAATGTTAACGTTAGGCTAATTTCATTTTCTTAAAATTATCTACCTGAAGACAAACAAATGGAAGCTAAAGTCATACAAATCATAAGTTTCATTTTTCTTACAAATGTTAGGCTAATTTCATTTTTTTAAAAATTATCTATCTTAAGACAAACAAATGGAAGCTAAAGCCATACAAATCATGTTTCATTTTTCTTACAAATGTTAGGCTAATTTCATTTTCTTACAAATATCTATCTTAAGACAAACAAATGGGAAGCTGGAGTGTACATGGAACACAAACAAAGATGATTGTAAGAAAATGAAATTAGCCTAACATTTGTATTGGACGAGGAAGTTTTTGTATCTTTAATTATGATTTGACTCCATTGTCTCCATAAAATGGACATACCATGTGATAATCAATTTTGCAGTTGTAATTTTACCTATCCCGCCATACGATCTTGAACCTGGTTTAGCTAGCTACTTTCAATGGGGTTGAGACTAAAATCAATCGTCAAGTTCGTAATCATAAAGAAACTAATTTGAAGTCACAAAAAAATAAGTGAGTCAAAAGAAAATTATAACTTTCTCATCTTCTGTTTCATAACTTGAAATATTAACACACTACATTTACATTAGTCAACTTAACTTAATGTAAGAAAATTTTAATACGGTGAACCTAAACATGAGTTACATTTTGAAACAAAATTTTAAACTGATATGTTACTTTTCGATTTATTAAATAAATTCTTGTTTCCTGATCCTATAAATTCTAAGTTTCTTCCATATCTTAAACCATCCCAAGAATCTAAGTCTAAAATCAAAAGCAAATCCAGAACAAAGGAAAGGAAGAAAAGGATTAACAAGAAAGATGGGAAGCAAAGCTGTTGTATCAATCTTGTTAATGGTTTCCCTTTGTGGTACCATTTCTTTCACTCAAGGAGTAGCTGAAATGCAAAAGCAGCCGACATTTCCAGGACTTTTCCCACCTGGCTTACCCATTGATCTAGTAAAATGTTGGTCGTCTCTCTTCAACGTTGAAGGATGTGTGCTCGAAATCTCTAAATCAATTTTCTCAGGCAAATTTGAAAATATTGAAGGCGCATGTTGCAAGGCGTTTTCGGCCTTAGATGCCAACTGTTGGCCCCATATGTTTCCGTTGAATCCGTTTTTCCCTCCTCTCCTCAAGGATATTTGTGCGCGTATTGTCCCAAACTCTCCTACACACAACTAAAAGCAAGAATGATTGTTGATCAACTACACATTTTAGACTAGTTGTTAGCTTCAAATTCCAAGTTTTTTAAAGTTAATTTTTGTTGACAAGATGTGAACTCAAATTTTCGTTATCTCAATAAAGTAAAATGTTAGCAATATTGTTGGGGTCGGATTTCACCCATATCTTGAGACCGAGCCAAACATCGATAGGAGAAACAACTCGGCATATGTTCTCTCTACTCCGTTGCTTCGGAGACTTCCTAATCGCCTCAGGAGATATTCACACCGGCCCAGAGCACTCTTAGTCTTGCCTCGGGGACACGTTCATCACCACGAGATGCAGCTCGGCCACCTCGGGTACAAGTTATACTATCATTACACCCGAGCCGGTTTCACCTCGGGTACAAGCCCGAGGCAACTTCACCCGTGTTCCCGAGCCAACTTCGCCTGTGTTCCCGAGCCAACTTTGCCCGTGTCCCCGAGCCCAAATCGCCTAGGGGCACACCTCAAAT